ACAATGGGAGGACGATGATGAAAGGACGAGGGGGGGAGAGGGAGGACGAGGAAAAAGAGGAGGAGGAGGAGGACGAGGTGGAGGAGGAGGATGACGATGACGATGACGATGAGGACGAGGACGAGGAGGAGGAGGAGGAGGAGGAGGAGGAGGAGGAGGAGGAGGAGAGCGCCATCGACAGGGAAGGTGGGGGCCACGAGGGCCGCCGGCTCGACGACGCCCGCGTCGCCCGCGCCCGCCCCCTCACTCTTATCCGCAATTGCGGGGTGCTACGTACGAGTTATATTATATTCAGAATCATAAGATGAACATTAAGACTATTGCAGCGATTAATGATACTAATGCTATCAATACGTAGAATAATACGACCGATGAGAATACGTAGCGCCCCGCAATTGCGGATAAGAGTGAGGGGGCGGGCGCGGGCGACGCGGGCGTCGAGCCGGCGGACCTCGTGGCCCTCACGAATGCAAAAGAAGCCTGGAACCAGGCGCCGAAATTTTTGGGTGGGTCGTGGGGTGGGTCGCGGGTGGGTCGCGGGTTGGTCGCGGTGGGTCGCGGGTGGGTCGCGGGTTGGTCGCGGGTGGGTCGCGGCGTGGGTCGCGGGTGGGTCTCGGGGTGGGTCGCCAGTGGGTCGCCGATGCAAAAGAAATCCGCCCCAGGCGCCGAAGTTTTGTCTTATTCAGTGAGCGTAGTTTGGGTCGCGGGTGAGTCGCGGGCTCCCCACCTCCACCTGGAAGGAATTCACAAACAGCCCCCCGCAGGCGCCGAAAATTTTGATTTGTACACTGAACGCGGTTTGGGTCGCGGGTGGGTCGCAGGTTCTCCACCTGGAACGACCTGGAACGAATGCAAAAGAAACCCGCCGCAGGCGCCGAAAATTTTTGGTGGGTCGCGGGGTGGGTCGCGGGTGGGTCGCGGATTGGTCGCGGGTGGGTCGCGGGTGGGTCGCGGGTGGGTCGCGGGGTGGGTCGCGGGTGGGCCTCGGGGCGGGTCGCCGGTGGGTCTCGGGGCGGGTCGCCGGGGGGATCTCGGGGTGGGTCGCGGGTGGGTCGCGGGTGGGTCGCGGGGTGCACCAACGGTCCCAGTGGCGCAGCCCGCATGTGGGCGACACCCCGTTTCGGCACACCCCTCACACGCTTCGTGGCCCCAGAGGGAGCTCCACCTGCGGTCCCACTGGCGCCGCCCACATGTGGGCGACACCCCTGTTTCGGCGCACCCCTCACACGATTCGTGACACATAAGGAGTTCCACCTGAGGCACCAGTGGCGCAGCCCGCATGTGTGCGAGAACCTCCATTTCGGCACACCCCTCACACGCTTCGTTTCCCCAGAGGGAGCTCCACCTGCCGCGCCGCCCACATGTGGGCGACACCCACGTTTCGGCACACCCCTTACACGATCCGTGGCTCTACAGGGAGCTCCACCGAAAGCCCCCGCGGAACAGCCCGCACGCGGGCGGCGCCCCATAGGAAGTTCCACTTAAGACGGTACTCGCAATTCGGGTATCCACATCTGCACATTGTGGGGCGCTTCGCCAGGCTAATTTGATAGCCTCTTCTGTGTGGCACAGTGTCTGCACAACCAGAGGTGACCATGATGTGGCAGATCTCGAGCTCTGTGTAAATTCATGCGCGCTGATGCGAACCGAGGCGGCGAAGCCTTCGAACATCCTTTGAGCATGGGTGCGTTCGGATGAGCCGAGAGGCGCAATTTGGTGCTGGTAGGAGTGAGGAGTGATTAGTATTTGTTCTCCGATGTCGAACCTCTGGCTGAAACCGTGGGGCGGGAATGTCAGGAGCCCAGACCCCCTCGGGCCGCAACAACAAAACCACGACGGAATGTTTCTCGCCACCGTCGGTCTCTGGGGATTCTTACCGGGTCTCGGGGCCATCATAACATGACTCAGGATCAAAAGCCTGTCCATTTTGGGTCCACGTCATCAATCAATCATGTCGCCGGGAGTTTTGGAACCTCTTCATCGTCACCATCACCATCGCCAGCGCTTCCTTGAGCAGAGTGTAGCCGTGTCCAATATCGAAAGGTCCGATGCAGGCTTATCCGCAGTAGCTATCCCCGAGTTCCATCGATGTCATGTTTTCTGAGAAATCCATGGTCCATGGCTTTTGATCTGATCATTAGCAGCAGCAACAGCACCGTCACCATCACCGAAATCATCAGCATCATCATCATCATAATCATCATCACCATAATCAGCATCATGATAATCATCATCATCAGCAGCATCATCATTATCAGCATCATCATTATCATCATCATTATCATCATCATCATCATCATCATCATCATCATCATCATCATCATCATCATCATCATCATCATCATCATCATCATCATCATCATTATCATCATCGTTATCGTCATCATGATCGTTATCACGACCATCAACATTCACGTACACGTACGCGTACACATACACATCATCATGGCCGTCGCCGGCGAGGTCGTGGCGATGGTGGTCGTCGTCCTCGTCGTCATGGTGTTGGCGGGGTGGTTGTCGTCCGTGTACTTGTGATAAGTTCTGGACGCGGTGGGACGGTGGTCGTCGTGGTCTTCGTGGTGGTGGTCAATGTCATCGGTGCTCGATTCCAGTGTGCTCTCTTCATTTCTGTCACCCTCTTTCTTCGCCTCCCCTGGAGGAGTCCCCCGCCCCCCTGCAGCAACGGAGCACCTTTCAGCAATCTGAGCACGAGGGGCGTGTAAAGCTTTCTCGGGTGTTTGCTTGCTTGCGTGGTTGGTTGATTTCTTGCGTCCGCGACTTCTTGATTCACTGCTTCCTTGATCGCTGCGTTGCATTCGTGCCTGCTCGCTTGCGTAATTAGCTGAGTGCCTCCTTGCTCGCCTATCGGAATGCTCGGGCATTCGACTTGTGTTGCCCCCAGGCAGGCACGCATGTTTGCGGACTCGCTCGCTTGCAGTGTATTATCGCACTGATGTCTCATGAATGCCCGTTTGAAGTTGTACCTAGTAGGCATTATCTTGAGAGATGTCTTGTGCCCCTTTAGCCCGTTTGCACGTAGACGTATAAGGGAGATCCCAGGCCCGTGGCCCCCGGCCGGCCTCTCCTCATCTTTCGATGCCCCTTCTCCCAGGGAGCCTCGCCAGGCGACCCCCGGAGGTCCCAGAAAACCTGATAGTCTTCCAAGTTCCAAGACGGCCCAAGATGGCCTCCGACTGGCCCTCGAGGCCCCCAGAAGCGCCCCACGAGAGCTCCAACACGGCCCCAGGTGACACCGCGACAGCCCCGAGGCGCCCCAAGAGGCCCCAAAGAGGGCCTCAAGAAACACACACCGTCTCATTCCGTTCGGCAAACGTATTTTTAGCAAAATCGTTTTCTGGGCTTTCACAGCGTCCCAGACGGGCCCAAGACGCTCCCAAGACGGCCCTGGAGGCCCCCAAGAGCTCCAATACGTACCAAGAAGGGTCCGAGACGGCCCCTCCGACACAGTAGCTCAAGCTCATGGCATTTGGACTCAGGCCGGGGGGGCTCAGGCGCTACTTCTGCTCACCAATATTCGTTCATCTAGCCCGCGCGCGTGCTCGATATGATTCCCCTCCACGCAGCTGTCGTTCTCGCGCCCCTCTTCGGTATCGTGCAGGGTGACTGTGAGGACACCGACAACGGAGCTACAGACAGGTCGGGCCGGGGTTGCGATAGTTATGCTAGTTTTCCTAATGTAGTCCGCGCTTGCTGCAGCTACATGTGCCTCACAGTATGCTCCCCCACGAGGACCCATATAGTGTATGTAAGCGTTCCACATGGTATCGCCCCATCATTCACTCAACGTGCGCAACACGCGGGTGAAGGCATTTTTCGGTGACGAAGAGGATGGGTAGGTATGCGGCATCAACGCACGCGCACAGACCTTCACAGCTCAGCTGCCTCATATTCCTGTAGCTGCACAGGCCTCCAACCAGCGAGTTGTCCTTCGATTCAGCCGTCCACACACACACACACACCTCCAAGCTAGGCGGGTACCACCCTTGCTCCCCGTCGGGCATAAGCCCAGCCCTCCGTGGCAACGCCCTTGGGAACACGCTCAAGTAGGAGAACGTTGCCCTGGCGAAGGTGAGGTACTTGGGCCTATACTCGTGGCCTTTGAAATCAGCCAGCGCTGCGCGTCACAGGTCTGCGAGGAGGCGGTGGGAAAGACAGCAGACAAGTCGGCCTACCTGCCTCCGCTTCCACCCTCTGCGTGAGATCGCGGAGGAGTCGGTGGGCAGCTGGGTTCGCATCCGCGAAATCCGCCTCACCGAATTGCGCCTCGCTCCCTGGCTGGGGCATGGTTGCGCAGACGCACGCTCAGCCACCATGACGTGAGGTGGTGGTGCGTATGCAAGGGCGCCCTCGAGGGCGCGAAGTTATTCGCGCTTCGCGCTTCGCGGTTCGGCTCCGATCCCTCATCCTCCTCTTCTCACCTGGGAGGCGGCGCGAGATTCGCATTTCGCGCTTCGCGCAGCGCGAAGCGCGAAGTCGGGAGCCCTTGGTATGGTAGGGCCTGCACCTCAGGCGCCGCTCGAACTCGACCAGCGTATATATATAAACATATACATGTGTGTATGTATGTATATATATATATATTTATGTATACCTGTAGACATAGGGGAGCTCCCAGGCCCGGGGCCCCCGGCCGGCCTCTCCTCATGTTTCGGTGCCCCTTCACCCAGGGAACCTCGCCAGGCGACCCCTGGAGGCGCCAGAAAACCTAATAGTCTTCCAAGACGGCCCAAGATGGCCTCCGACTGGCCCTCGAGGCCCCCCCAAAGCGGCCCACCAGAGCTCCAACACGGCCCCCCGGGTGTCACCGCGACAGCCCCAAAGAGGGCCTAAGAAACAAACGCCGTCTCATTCCGTTAGGAAAATGTATTTTTAGCATATTCGATTTCTGGGCCTCTGGGCTTTCACAGCGTCCCAGACGGCCCAAGACGCTCCCAAGACGGCCCTGGAGGCCCCCGAGAGCTCCAACACGTACCGAGAAGGTCCGAGACAGCCCCTCCGACACGGTGGTTCAAGCTCGTGGCATTTGGACTCAGGCCGGGGTGGCACAGGCTCTACTTCTGCTCACCAACATCCGTTCATCTGGCCCGCGCGCGTGCTCGATATGATTCCCCTCCACGCAGCTGTCGTTCTCGCGCACCTCTTCGGTATCGTGCAGGGTGACTGTGAGGACACCGACAACGGAGCTACAGACCTGATGGGTCAGAGTTGCCTATTTTATACTACGTATCCCTATAGGTGTTCTGATTATTATTTTTATTACTATGACGATTGGGACTTCCAATCCCGTGATATGTGCTGTGCATGCGGGGGCGGAAGCGGCAGCGGAGGCTGTGTGGACACCGACTACGGAGCTACAGACATGATGGGCCGGAGTTGCGATAGTTATACTACATATGCCTATAGGTGTTCTTTTTATCATTACTATGACGATTGGGACTTCCAATCCCGTGATATGTGCTGTGCATGCGGGGCGGAGGCGGCAGCGGAGGCTGTGTGGACACCGACTACGGAGCTGCAAATCAATATAATATGGATTGCGGCCCATACAATACCTACGGAGCTAATAATGGCTGGTGCGCGTCGTGTCGGTATGACGATTATGACTTCTCAAGCTCCGATATGTGTTGTGGATGCGGTGGCGGGGCGCTGGCGCCGCCGCCGCCGACGCCAGCACCCACGTCGCCACCGCTGCCGACGCCAGCACCTACGCCGCCGCCCCCGACGCCTGCACCTACGCCGCCGCCGCCCACAACAAGCACCCAAATCTCCACCACTGCCACCCAGACAGCCACAAGTTCCGAGACTGCCACCCAGATTGCCACACAGACAACCACCGAGACGGGCACGAGTTCCGCCTCGCCCAGCAGCAGCACCACCAAGACGACGGCCACGACGACCACCGAGACAGGCACGAGCTTCTCCACGTCAAGCTCCACAGCCACCACCGAAATGGTACTAACCGCAACGACTGCATTGGTGAGGTCAGTACTGGCAGGATCACAGGAGTTGGTGGTGGAGTCTGAGGAGGGCTTTTCTGTAGGGGATGCCATCATGATTACTGGTGGCGGCAATTCGGAGACACGTGATATCACGAGTTTTGGATCCATGATGCTTGGCGCACCATTGGACTACGGATACCCAGCGGGCTCCAGGATCACCAATTTGGGTGGTAGTTTTTCGAGCAATTCGCCATCGGCGGAGGAGCCGCAAGATTCCGAGGCATCGCTTGCAGTGTTCGTTGCTGTCGTGATCGTCCTCCTGGCCTGCGTCGCGCTGGGCTTGGGCTGTCTGATGAGGCGCGGATGTCCCGGCTGTGGCAGGGGCCCAGCGCGCGACTCGCAGATTGAGATCAGCGTGTGGGAGTTGGACGCGGAGATTAGTGAGCACCAGGCGGACCAGAAAACTGAGTTGTTGGAGACCATGGATTTCTGGTTTTTGCCAGTCGAAGCACTCACAAACATGCCGCGCAACATCCCCATCTTCCGCCATCAAAGTGTTGAGGGACCTTGGTCTGTTGGTGAAGCGGACCATGACCCTGGAGGATGTGCTTGCTGGGCGGTTTGTTGCAGACACGGCAGCAGTGTCCCACCGCTGGCCAGAGCCAGAACACCCCGATCCGGACGGCAGCAAATTGTGTGAGTTGCAAGACATTTTAGCCAAGATCCCCTCGATCAAGTTTGTATGGATGGATTGGGTATGTGCACCTCAATGGCACGGCGGCGGGCGCACCGAGGAGGAGGAGGAGGAGGAGGAGGAGGAGGAGGAGGAGTTCAGGCTGATCTTGGAGAACATTTTGCCATTCATCTTTCTCGGGTGCACGGTCATTGTGCTGTACGATCGTGTCTATAATCAACGGTTTTGGCCAAACGTGGAGTGCTGGATCGCCACCAAGATGGCATCGGAGGACGGGTTAGTGCCAGCTACCGAGGATAGGCTCCGAGTGAAAGTCCATGGCGTAGACTCAGCAACGAGTTTGAGTTGCACCCGCTGGGTTTTTGACAGTTGGCACCATGTTAATGCGCAGAAGGCTATCCACATCTTGTCCCAAAAGGACATCTTGGTCACAAACGCCAAGGACAAGGATATCAACTCGAAGGTAGTCAGCTCTCTGGACCGCACGATCTACAACCGTCTCACGTTGCCCATCTAAGTAGTTGGTATATATTGCGCTTGTGCGGTAGTTCGGAGGTTGGGGGGGGGTGAGATCGCCGAGGAGGACGGGCTGATATGGGATTGGAGATTACGACAACTTGGGAGAGCTGCCAGACCGCATCCGTAGACAGCTGACCTGTGGCCTCGCTATCTTGATATTTTTCAATCGTGTCTTGACGTGTGCAGAAGCTGTGCCGGACGAATGACGCTAGAAGGAGAGGAAGTGGAGGAGGAGCTGGGTTTCGGGCCAGAATCAGCAAGTATGGTTCGTCAGTTGCTTGTGAGGCGCGATCATATTTGAGACTCTCTGTCGCGCACGCTTTCTCTAGTTGCCACCCTGCTGGTGGGCAGTGCAACTTGTTCACGGCTTGAATAGCCAGCCAGACGGGATTCCCTCCTCAACTTTTTCTTTTATTTGTCACGGGTTGAATCGCAAGTTCGGCATCCTGGCTCGGTGACGGGATGGGCTGAAGGTCGTTGTGGATATAGCGATTTCTCTAGTGTGTAATGTTCTTTAGTACCTTTCCCGTTGATCTGCAAATGCGGAGGCTCTATTCGTGCTCTGCTTTGTCACGCCTCTCTCGGTTGGCCGGACTCTCCAGAGCGCTCGGGCCCGACGCCATCCTCACAGCTGACTCTCTAGAGTAGTCGTTATTGGTATGGCTTGTTTCGCAGCGGCGCGGGCTCAATGAGCCGACAGTCGTCATTGCTGCAGGTACGACGCAGGCCTCTCGTTGCACACTCAGCAGCCGCTCAGGTGCACAGCAGCGTTTCCCCCCCCCCCAACGACAAAATGAAGGGTCCAAGACGGCCCAGGAGGCTCCCAAGATGAGTGAGAGAGAGAGAGAGAGCGCCCATTCCAGCCCGATCTGGGCGTCATCACTCACTTCGGCCACCAGAGCTGCGGCCTCAGTAGCAGCAGAAGACAGCAGCAGGCATCGTGTCTCGCCTGCGCCTGCCGCTTTTTGTCACGGCGCCGTGCAGCGCCTGTTCCCGAGGAGGAGAGGAGATGAGGTGGTGAGGAGCTGGGAGCAGCAGGATGTATTCGTACCCTCCTCTTCCTCGAGGCGAGGACGTCCAGTGTCCTTGAGGCTAGATCGTCAAGTGCTCTGGCCTTTCTATCGATCGTTCTTCAGAACGGCCCACTCCATGTGGGCCTCTTGGTCTGCATGGCGTCTTCGGCACAGTGCACACCCCCGGCAATGATGCCCTCTGGCATCCTTTCGCGCAGATCCGAGCTCCGAGTTCCGAGATCCCTTCCCCCTGTCCCGGCCTCACCCTCAGCACAGCCTCGCATCGTCCTGCTTGGCGAGCCGAGGCGTCGCGCACGGCCTCGCCCACGGCAGGCCGGCTCCGTCGTGGCTCCGGGCTTGCTGGGCACACTTCCAGCCGGATCGCACTGTGAGGGTCTTTGGGCCCGAGATCATGGCAAATCGCCGGTTGTGAAAAGATTGCAACGCCAGGGTCTCAGAGGAGGAGGAGACGGAGGAAGAGGAGGAGGAGGAGGAGGGGCAGGGGGATGAAGGAGGAAGAGGAGGAGGAGGAGGAGGAGGACGAGGAGGAAGTGTCGCTCGTCGCAGGGGTGTGCGGTTGCCTCGTGCGAAGAAGCCCGGCAGACGTGCGAAGCGCACACGACCTGCGCATCCCAGACGCCCATGCCGACTGCGAGCCCAACGCTTACACCTTAGGCGATGCTTAAGAAAACTTAAGTTTTCGGCCAGAATCTCGATTATTCTTAACGTTTCAATGCAAATCTTAAGATTTGAATGGAAATGTTGGGTTTTGTATTCAAGTTCTGAGAGTATGAATTTCTGAACCCATGATTTCTTAAGCATTTCGCAGGGTGTACAGCAGAATGTGTGTCATACCCGTCACGCCGCAGCAGCACGAAGCTTTGATGCCGCCCGAAGGGCCATGACGTACAACTGGACGGCACCCGCCAACGTAGCCTCACACTGGCATTCATTCAGGCGGCGGAATCCAGCACAAAAGAAGAAGAAGGAACAAAAAAGGACGTGGTTCCCAGGCGGTGGATCTGGATAACCCCCCCGCCTCGCACTGGGGTGGCCGCTCTCGGGGGCCGGGATCGGCTCGAGGCCGGCGCAGCGCCGCGCGCGTCCGCTTCACGAGCGCCCGCGCCAGCTGCACGGGCGAAGGGGGGGCCTCTTCTCGGAGGGCCGATCTCGCCTCAGCGCCGCGCACGCCCGGGGCACGCCTGCAGACTCCTCCCCCTCCTCCTCCCCCTCCTCCCCCTCCCCCTCCTCCTCCCCCTCCTCCGCCCCCCCCTCCTCTGGCCCACCTCCGCGCGTCCAACTTCCCCGCGCGGAGGTAGAATACACAGAGAGGGGCACCCCCCTTGCGCAGGGGCCCATTCGCTTTTCAGCTTGTCCATGCCGTTGCCCGGTTGGAGACCGGTGCCAACGAAGGCCCAATACAGCAACGGACGGAGGTTGGCCTTCCTGTGAGTTGAGCATCTCTAACAGACCAGCATCGCGAGTTCGCGCTGCAGGGGGTGGAGAAGACGAGCGCCCCTTCGCCCCCCGCGGGCTGGGGCAAGCACCTCCCCGTCACGTCCGCCGCATCCAATTCCCAAAGGCCTCCCCTTGGGAGAAGAGGTCGATGGATGGCGCCGCCGTGTGTTTAGGCCACCTCCCACCTCCCCTAGGCAGCTAGATGCGTGGAGCGATACGAGCTCGCGCAGTTTTGCACGTGCCGTTGCGTCATGCCGAGATGCGGGTCAAGGCCCCCGCGAAATTCAGTCTTGGATGAAGCCAGGGGACGGGATGTGCCAGGGGACGCGCCACGCGACGTGCGAGGGGGACTCGCCAAGGGACGCCCCACGGAACGTGGCAAGGAACGTGCCAGGTTGCAATGCTGAGTGTATCGATCTTGATGTACCGTGACGGAGTCTGTTCTGTGCTGCGCCGTGCTGAATTGCGATGTGCCATGCCGCGATTGTGCTCTATAGCGTTGTGGATCGAGTCGTCCTTTGCATCTGTGTCCTGACTGAACTGATCTGGATCTTAAGCTCGAGCTGCCTGAACACATAGTAGCTGCACCAGAGCTAATTGACAGGGGGACATGCCAGGAGGACGCGCCGCGGAACGTGTCAAGGGACGCGCCAAGCGACGTGCCAGGGGACGTGCCATGGGGACGCACCGAGGGACGTGCCAAGGGGACGCGTTACGGAACGTGCTGGGGACAAGCGTTTCGCTCGAGACATCCTGTCAAATCCTCATGCTAGACATCCGCCTGAGCGACCTGGACACGTGAAAACAAGCGTTTCGCTGAACACATCCTCAACACATTCTCATGCTAGACATCCGCCTGGGCGACCTGGACATGTGAAAACAAGTGGTTCGCTCGAGACATCCTCAGCACATCTTCATGTGAGACGTCCGCTTGGGTGACCGGGGCACGTGAAAACAAGCGTTTCGCTCGAGACGTTTTCAACACCTCCTCATTCTAGACATCCGCCTTGGCGACTTGTACACGTGAAGGCAAACGTCTCGCTCGAGACATCCTCAACACATCTTCATGTTAGACATCCGCCTGGGCGACCTGAACACGTGAAAATAAGCGTTTCTCTCGAGACATTCTCAACACATCCTCATGCTAGGCATCCGCCTGGGCAACCTGGACACGTGCAAACAAGCATCTCGATCGAGACTTCCTCAGCACATCCTTATGCTAGACATCCGCCTGGGCGACGAGGACTCGTGAAACCAAGCGTCTCTCTCGAGACATCCTCAACAAATCCTGGCGCTAGACCTCTGCCTGGGCAACCTGGAGGCGTGAAACCAAGCGTCTCGCTCGAGACATCCTCAAGACCTGGGCACGTGAAAACAAGCATTTCACTTCAGAGATCCTTTGAATTCTGGTCCCCAGGTGAGGACAATCTATAACACAAGGCAAGCGTTTCGCTCGAGACATCCTCAACAAATTCTGAAACACTTTCGCTCGAGACATCCTCAAATTTTAATTCGCCGGCCCACCTCGACTTCGATATTTATCGCAAAAGAAATTCGCCGGCCCACCTCAAGTCAAACCCCGGGGTAAACCATCTAAAAGAGAACCCTGGGCTTAAGCCCTTTCCGGGAAACATGATGGACCCACGAACCCGGAAAGGGATATAGACATGTGGAGCATGGACACGTTTTCATGATACCCAACTGGGCAACACCTCACGAAACATCCCACGAGACACCTCACGAAACAGCCCACGAGACACCTCACGAAACATTCCACGAGACACCTCACGAAACATTTCACGAGACACCCCGCGAAACATTCCACGAGACACCCCACGAAACATTCCACGACGACAGGCAACCACTCAACCAAGGCGGTGTGGTCGTGCTGGGGAGTGGTCGTGCTGGGGTGTGGTCGTGCTGGGGGGTGGTCGTGCTGGGGGGTGGTCGTGCTGGGGGGGTGGTCGTGCTGGGGGGTGGTCGTGCTGGGGCGTGGTCGTGCTGGGGCGTGGTCGTGCTGGGGCGTGGTCGTGCTGGGGTGTGGTCGTGCTGTGGTAAGGTCGTGCTGGGGTGCGGTCGTGCTGGGGTGTGGTCTTGCTGGGGTGGGGTCGTGCTGGGGTGGGGTCGTGCTGGAGTGTGGTCGTGCTGGGGTGTGGTCGTGTTGGGGTGTGGTCGTGCTGGGGCGTGGTCGTGCTGGGGTGGGGTCGTGCTGGAGTGGGGTCGTGCTGGGGTGTGGTCGTGCTGGGGTGGTCCGAACCCTGTGACTTATCGAGCGGGTCGTGCTGGTGTGGTCGTGCTGGGGAGTGGTCGTGCTGGGGAATGGTCGTGCTGGGGTGTGGTCGTGCTGGGGGGTGGTCGTGCTGGGGGGTGGTCGTGCTGGGGGGGTGGTCGTGCTGGGGGGTGATCGTGCTGGGGCGTGGTCGTGCTGGGGCGTGGTCGTGCTGGGGCGTGGTCGAGCTGGGGTGTGGTCGTGCTGTGGTGAGGTCGTGCTGGGGTGTGGTCGTGCTGGGGTGTGGTCTTGCTGGGGTCGGGTCGTGCTGGGGTCGGGTCGTGCTGGGGTGTGGTCGTGCTGGGGTATGGTCGTGCTGGGGTGGGGTCGTGCTGGGGTGGGGTCGTGCTGGGGTCTGGTCGTGCTGGGGTGTGGTCGTGCTGGGTATGGTCGTGCTAGGGTGGGGTCGTGCATTTCGCTCGAGACATCCTGCCAAAATTCCAGGAAATCGTACAAAAACAAAGGAATTAGTCGAGACATCATCGAAATTCCTTCGCGCGGGGCGCTTTCCGCGTCGCGGTCGGCTCTGCAAAACAAGCGTTTCGCTCGAGACATCCTCGGCAAACTCTGCGGAGCAAGCGTTTCGCTCGAGACATCCTCAACACACGAAAAAGTGGCCCGCACCCTGTGATTTATCGATCGGGATTTCAAAAACAAGCGTTTCGCTCGAGACATCCTCAAATTTAAATTCGCCGGCCTCCTTCGACCTCGTTATTTATCAGGGAAAAAATTCGCCGGCCTCCCTCAAGTTGGCACCGGGGGACAGGTTACCTACTAAAAGAGAACCCTGCTCATGCCCATTCCGGGACAAGAAATGGACCCACGAACCCAAAGGGATATAGACATGTGGAGCATGGACACGTTTTCATGATACCCAACTGGGCAACACCTCACGAAACATCCCACGAGACACCTCACGAAACAGCCACGAGACACCTCACGAAACATTCCACGAGACACCTCACGAAACATTTCACGAGACACCCCGCGAAACATTCCACGAGACACCCCACGAAACATTCCACGACGACAGCAACCACT